ATAGCTGACGAACTAGTGAGAGTAAAGATAAGAAATACTCTAAAAGAAATATGTAGAGGTTTACTTAGCAGCAGGTAGCCCATCTAAAGAAATCTAAATGGATAATACATTTTAAGAGATCTCTTCATAAGACTGGTATTTATTCAAATAACCTGACACCCTTTATGGTGTACGCAATATTGATTTTCATGGGAGATTCATTATATTAAGTTTATATTTTTTTTAGGTATGAATCCCATTTATGAGACAGACGCCAGATTTTTATGAGTCAAAGTGCATATGTTGCAAGTAAATAAAGTACATATAACAACTGCACTGAGGGCGCATTTGGCAACTCAAAGACTATACTCTCAGACTGGTCACATTTTAGTGACACTCAGTGTAATTCCCACAGATACTATTTTTGGAAAATTTTATTGTACCAAAAATTTGTTGCAATGTGAAGACAAGCGCAAAATCCAGTTGAGCCAACAGCCAGCAATTACCGCCGCGCCGATATACTCACCTACATATGTACATACATACATAGTTTCCATGTAAATCAATTATTCAATTTTCGTTGCGTGTAGTATTTAGTTAATTGTGGGGTTGAGTTGCAATTTTTCATACATTCATACGTCTGCATTAATACATGAATGTGTGTATGTACATGCCTGCAGCTAAATTAGCATACATTTTAACTGAGAAAAAATAACTCAGGTATGCGTACGAAATGGCGGCCAAGTCATATTAGATTTGCATTTTGTATGAAAATGTTTGGGAAATTGAAATCTGTTGGCAAAGCTGTCATAAACATGCCAATAAAAATCGACAAATACAAATAGAAAAGTGATATTAGTAAATTGAAATTGTAGCTACATGAAGAGTAATTAATCATTTGCTTCGCTTACTGAAGCATTAGATTAAACGAGCAATTCTTGTATTGTTAAATATCCATAGGTTTCTCGGAAACGACTCTAACGATTTAAATGCAATTTTTTATACAGATATATTTCGCATAATAGGATTACCTAGATAGCTATTACCTCCGTGAATACTCGTTAAAGCTTGCCACCCATTCGAAATTTGTTAGAAATTAAATAAAACATCATAATATGGGTGTCAAATGAAAGGTTTTTTAAAAATTCCCAAACTAGAAATATTTTTGAATAGGGTTGCCACTTAATTTGAATCCCACATTTATATAATTTTTTGTTTATAAAATAAAGGCACAGTAAGTTCTTCAGCAATGATTTGCTTATATACTAATTGTTATCTATTAAAATATACATGTGTTAGAGAAAGGTTGCCACTTATTTTGAATTTTATAAAAAACAAAACTAAAACAACGCAATATGGGTATAAAATGAAAGGTATTTTTGAGAACATTAGTCCAAAGATATTTGTGATGAGGACTGCAAGTATTTTCAATACAAAAAAAAATTTTGTTAATTTCAATAAGCAATTTTTGTGTACGCTCAATATGTGCACACTTCATTCCAGCGTATTTCCGCGTATTACTTTTTTCACAACATATAAAAAGCCAAATTTTTGACTTTTTCCAAAATATCCTTTCCAAAAGCTACCTAAATAAAACGTTTTTCGATACTTAAACCTTGAAAACTTTAAAAAATATATGAACTTCGAGCAAAGCTCGGTCAGCCTGGTACTTGTAATATTAAAGCAGCAGAAGCCAAATTCACAATTTTTAGAATTTTTGTCTGCCTGTATGTTTGTACGCGCATCACTGCCAAATGCAGTTTTCACCGATACACTGCTAGTGGTCTAACTTGAAATATAGAACAAAATGGAGTTCCCACCTGTAAGAAAATTGTAGTTTAAGTAAATTCATAAGATATAGTAAATATTGCAATATGGCAGCCAAAGAAAGGATTTAAAAGGCTTACAGCTGAAAATATATTTGTAGAAGGTTGCCGCCTGTTTGAAAGTTTTAATTCATTTTAATTTATAAGAAAAACTAAATAGTGAAATATGGGTATAAAAATTTTTTTTAAAATCTTACTTCATAAAAGCCCTTTTTCACGCCGCCCAAATTGAGCAATTTCGACACTGTTCTCAATTCAGCTGAAATTTTTGAAAAAAAAAAATCTCCAAATGCTTCGAAAATGTTCCAAAACATAAGGAAAGATATTAGAAAAACTTCGAAAGGTCTTGAAAATATTTGGAAGAATGCGAATCCTTTTTTAAACTAAGAATCTAAAGAACTTCTAACTAGAGCCTCTATCAATAATACTGTGAGTAAAAATGCGAGTTATCTCTTTGGGTTTCTTGTATTTGAGATTTGAGTAAAATATTTCCTTTCATGCCCTTGGAAGAATTTGTTTACGCGTCATTCTAAAAATATGCCTTTTCTCTATATATTAAGTATATCTATACATGCATACTCACTACATTCCATAACCGATTAGCATACGCATAATAATGCATGCATACATACCTATATGCATAAGTATATTAAAAATCAGGTGCAGCTTTGTGGCAATGCATGTATGTAAGTGCAAACCCAAAGTGGCAATGGCAAAGCAAGTGAAAGGAAGTAAAGTAAATACATACGATAGCATCGCTAAATTTTGCAAGAATTCTAACACATAAATCAGGCGTGGGATACCAATTTACTGTAATTAACGCATGCGTATCCGCAATGGTAAAATCTTTACCTTTTTGAGACACAACTTAGTTTTTTTTTTGAGGGCGAATTGTTGTTTTCCAAATACGAAGAAGAGTGAATATTTATACCCCACATCTGCACCTTCAAATAAATGTGTCTTAACATCTGTCAAATTTCTGTTTTAACTTTGTCCCCCTTTTCTTATTTGGGCAACTTGTTGGCTTAACATTTCATTTCCTAAATAGTATCAAGATAATCAGGTGGATCTGTACCCAATTTAAATGACGGGGTAAAATGAAAAATTGAGTTGTCAAACTGCGAAATGACAGTTGATGTTAAGATAGTGATGGTAAGAAATATGGCATGAAATATATGTATCAACAGTGGATATTTGCGATCTCCGCCTCATATTTCTGTGCTAACACAGTTTTTTTAAAATAAATATGTAGCAGGTGTACACACGTGGGTGGATAGGTTTACTGAAAAATTGCAAACACTGAGAAAAGCATCAACCAAAAATTGCTTAATGTTAACAATCCAAAACTTAAAAGAGAATCAAAGTGAGTTTTTTTCATTTTAACAATGCCATTGTTGCTACTTATTTTCAAGAAAGATTTTGGTAATATTAACCATGATATTTGATGATGTTACAAAAATTTTGGTTGAAATGTTTAACTCTCGCTCACTATCTTCACATCACTGGTGGTATATATACTCTGTACATACATACATATGTATGTACATATATATGGGAACTCGGCTCCAGCAGTTAAACTTCGACAAGCACAAATGTTGCTGAACATTTTTTTTCTGTTCGTAAATTTTTTGTTTCTTATCAACGTATAGAAAAAGTTAACTATAGGAAAAAATAAAAAAGAATTTGGCTGAAAAACATGTTGCTTCCGGTTCAGTTTAACATGACCCTGGATTGTTCTATACCGGAAAATATATACCCCACTTTTTTATTTTAAATAAAAAATATTTAGAGGTCGCTCAAAGTTTTCCATGTATTTTATACGGGAAAAACAACTTACCCTGCAGACATATTCTGAGACTTCAGAATACATATATGAGTCCGAAAGGAGTCCTAGGTAGGTAAGAAATATGAGTTTCAAAAACAAAATTTTTTTAACCTTATATGAATCTTTTGTAATTCATATAAGATCCAAGATAAGAGCCAGCACCTTGTGCCAATATAAAAACAATAAAGATTTGAAATTTATGTATATCTAAATTTGTTTAAACAGAAATTGAAAATAATTAGAATTAACAAAATTTAGCTGCCGCTGCTGCTATTGATTGCATGTTGGAATGTGTATATGCACGTAAGTATTTATGTTTGTTATTTGAAAGGAATTTTTGCTGAATGCCTTTGCAAATATAGTGCGTTCAATAAGACTCAAAGAACAACCTAAAATAAGAGTCCGAATGTAGTAATTTATGAGGCCGATTTTGTTTTGTTTTAAAAGAGTCCAAAATGAGCCGTATATGAGGCCAATAACATTCCAATATGACCCATATTGAGGCTCATTTGATGTATGAATTTAAGCTCACATAAGTCGACCTTCTGAGGAAGGGAACCACCCTTATATCGCACTCATTAAAGACTCATTTATGACTCCAAATGTTTGCTGGGTAGAAACGTAGAATGATATAGAATGCTTGAAAATCAATATTTTTCGATCGGAAAACTCTATTTCTCTTAAGGAGACTCCCACTAATAATATCTAATTTTTTATTTAACCATTTTTTCATGGTAACTTTATTTTATAGGTTCACCAAAGCTCCCTGAAAAGGCAATCGGAGACTCATAAGTCTCCTGAAGAGAATCAGAGCTTCCCGATCACAAAATATTGATTTTCAAGAATTTTACACCATTTCTACGAAAAGTTGTTTTTCCCCATAAAAAAATACAAAAATAGGTGTATATTTTTTTAGGTAAAGAAGTAAGCGTCAAAAATATATAAATACCCTGACTTTTTGACAATTTTATTTATTTATATTTTCAAACCAAATTTTTCCTACTTATTATTAAAATATAGTTTATTTGACAGCAGAAACCACAAGAATACATTTTTTAATAAATATTTGCAAAAAAAAATTTCAAAAATCAACGGCAATCTCAATCAACGGTAAATTTCTTAAATTTTTCCATTTTTGCATGATAAAAAAAAAAATTTCTGAGGTTTGTTGCTGTTGAATGAACTATATATATTTTTATAAAAAAAATCGAAAAATTTGGTGTGAAAAATATAAAAAAAAAATAAAATTGTTAAAACGTCAGTATACTTTGACGCTCACTGTTTAATGTATAGCTATAACTTAACCTAACCTATGCCCAATATATATTGTTGTAGCTAAATATTAATTAATTAAACCATTGCTAAAATACCTCTTAGAAAGTGACGCGAGTATTTTGGTTTGCAAGCGTGAATATTCGGAGATTATCACAACATTAGTTACTCCAAGGATTCGACTTACCTAAAAAGAGACAAAGAGATAAAAAAAAATACTTGTTAATTATTACGCTTCAGTATTTTTTACTACCGCTAAATTATATATATTTATTCATGTATTAGCTAATATTGTCAGAGTAACTATTCTGAAGGACAGATAAAAAATATTTGAAAATTTGTTGTCCGATTTCAACAATCAACTCTAAATTTATCAGCCTATTAATGCTTAAAATGACAAAATTTTAAAATTGATTGGTGGAACTTGGGATGTTTGAACCAAATAAAATTCATAATTTTAGAATGATGTTAATTGAATTACTTGTTTTCTGGTAATATCCGTTATAAGGCCCTAAAGGCAACGGATTTACAAACACGAGCTACAATTCATACGATTTGCCTTCTTGACTTTATTATTCTTGTAGTCACTTCGTATGACTACTGCCTTGTTCTATGACGTCACTTTCTGGTGGATATCACTGGATAAGTCGCTCACTATTATGAAAACAAAAACGTCACAGAGCGCTGCCCTCCGCGCCTGCTAAAGCCTTAGACACCTACATAAATTTTGGCTAGTGGACTGTGGTGGGAAATTTCAGACAAGCTGTAAGGCTAAAGGACCAAATGCATTGCTAAAATGGAAACATATTAGATTCAGTACCTCTCAATATTGAAAAAAAAAAATTCTCCACACGTTTAACATTTGCGCAGACGACTCTGCCATGGATCTACAAGATAATTGTAACAATGGCTTAAAACCAAATCTACCGTAGGAAGCAGGATACCCTCGAAATTTGTTTTAGGCTGCCAGGCCACTGTAGCGTTTTGATAGCGGAATTTGACTTAGCGAGCCTTCTCTCAAAGCATAAACAGACGACAGCGTTGATCCGGATCAACCGTGGAATTAACTGCAGTTAATCCAGATTAAATCCGAGTTAATCCGGATCAACGCTGTCGTCTGTTTAAGCTTTTAGCCCGCCTTAAGTAAATAGCTACTCTGCTAACCAAGCACCTAACAGTGAGTGGTCCAAAAAAGCATGTGGAAACAATAAAGTCGAAATTTTAATGCTCTAGTCCCCTAGGACTATTTTAAAAAGGTAAAAATGTTGTTTTTATTTCGAAATCGAAAAATATTTAGAGGTCGCTCAAAGCGCTCATATCGTTCCATGTATTTATTTATATAGGGGAAACCCATTTTTCGTGGAAATCGTATATAATTCTTGAAAACCAAAACCTACTTGCAGGACGACCCGACAATCTGGCAAAGCTTCGATATGAAAATATTCGACTAACTTGGATGTCTTCTACTTAAGCACCTTGGATATCTTCTACTTTGGTGAGTAACCGGAATTCAAAAAAGGCATGCTGCTGTGATGGGCTGCTGGCCAATGACAAACGCAGCATCTGCCGTGATGAGGAAAAATATGCTCATTTCACCATTACTGTACCTACAAATAGATTTTCCCCCTAAAGTTTTCAAAAAATCACAGCTAAGGAAATTAACAGAGGCGCTGAACGGAACCAGAGCATTGTTCTCATTACATTTTTCAAGTTATCTTATGACATATCGCTAGCTTAGAGTGAAAAGTTGTTAAGTCTACTCTTTATGAAAACTTATATTTTGATATAGGAGGCTAGAGAAATGCATCGTTTCTAAAAGGATAAAGGTCTTTGTTTTATGTTTTCTCGGTTATATCCAATGCTAAGCGCAAAAAAGCCCCGAAAGTACGGTAAGGTTGAAATAGTACGAACATTTGAAAAATTACCCCTACCTCTTGTTGTGTAAAAATTTCATTGGTGTATCGAACCAGTATCTCACTAGAACAAAATATGTATTCATTTTTACTATTGGAGTATATCGATACCTGAGCGAAAGATCGACCTATCTCGGCAACCAGTTCGAAAACGCCCTATCCCAGATAGCTTTTCAAAAACGCTCTATTGCAGAATTTTATTTAAAAAAAACCTACCTAAGAATTTGGTTAAAGAACGCCCTATCTCAGCTGCCGATTCAAAAACGCGCTAATTCAGCACATTTTCAATGTATTTTGAGCTGAGATAGGGCGTTTTTTAACCGAATTCTGATATGCGGCGTTCTTCGACCAAATTTTCAATCAAATGTTTAAGTAGGGCGTTCTCGAAAAGTTTTCTGAGATAGGGCGTTTTTTAACTGGCTGCCGAGATAGGTCCACTGAAGTGACGATATGTGAAGCCGTTTTTCTCGAGTTTCGCTTTTTTGAGTTATGACACTATTGAAGTAAATGAGCGATATATGTATGTATTTGTGAAATCACATGCAAATTGAATTTATATTACCACGTTGCGTGAATTTCAGAGCTAAAAAAGTGCTACCTTCAAGATTTTTATTTCAATTTGCATTTTTGTTGCAATTGATGTTGTAAAACGTTATTGCTGTTTATTGCGTGCAGTAAATTGCAGTAGCGCAATTGCAACAATGCAAAAGCAAGGCAAAGCGTACAAACGATTGCAACAGCCAACAACTATGCGAGTGTAAAATAGTTAATAAGCGACAATCTTCACAATGCATACATCCATACATACATACGGGAATGTTATAGTTCTGCTTTGTTGTTGTTGACATAACAGTTTAGTATGTTTTTGCACAATTTTCAGCTTAATTTTTGCAAGCAAACTACAAACAAAATGAAAAAAAACAGAAATGCTAATATTTTATTGCCACAATTGTAAAACGATAGCCTCCGATCGGCAGCAATATTGCCATTAACCAACTCCTCCTAGCAACCTGAGCAAATTTACAATCATTTGCTTTTATCGCCACGTTGACCTTACAACCTGCAACCTGTACTCGTAGTAAGCGGTAAGCAAGCGTGTGCTCGTTTTATTTCGCACCTCGCCATCGAGCGATCGTAATCGCACGCAGTTTATCAATGGCGGCGCACAATGGCGAATGCGATAACGCGATTACGATCTCTAAATAATCGCACGCGCACGATCGCGCAACATTTGCACTGGGAATTGGGTTATTTTTGTGCCACAAAGCGATTTGCCGAAAGTTTCCTGCTTGTCGCGCAGCGATTTGTGGTCATGCAAAATGCAAAAATGCGTCTTTACACAAATCTATGGTGCATAGTTAAGGCAGTTGTTGTCTTTGGATTTTTTTGTTTTGGTTTGTTGGCTAACGCACAAATTGAATTTTTATTATTATCTGCATGCAACAATTGCATGTAATTTACTTTACGATCAGCGGCAATAGGCAGTATGCTGCAACAATGCGCCAGTTAGCTTGGAAATCGGGTAGTAAGTTGTTACGGCAGCAACGGTAACGACAGCAGTTATGGGAGCAATTGCAACTGTTTCAGTTTATTGATATGTATTGAATACTTAAGTGTTTTAATAATGGGGTTACACTGGGTAAGTTTGGGTGAAATTGTGCTCGGATTTAGTTTCGTTCGACGTTTTGATACGAGAGACCATACAAAAGGATTCTTATACCTCAGTTATGCGTACTTGGCGTTGCATGAGAGCTGTTACATAAGAAATTTATTAAATGAGCTTTGCGTGTAAGTGGTTACCCAACGCACAGCATTACATACATATGTAAAGTCTGATGGGGTTTGATTTCTACGTAAAAAGGGCATAGCAATGCAAAGTATGCATAACTGAGATATTATACTTTTCATTCGAAAACTTGTAATTCTCATCTGTGTTATGTCGGATTAATAATAACAATGTGCAATTAAAATCATAGCATTAGAAAGCTTTGCACCCTATGTAATTTCTGAGTGCATAGGGCAGGGAAATTTCAGACAAAATTTTGTTTGGCGCCCAGCATTATGTTAACAACAGTCAGACATTCTGAACAAATGCATTTACAAAAATAGTATATCGTCACCTGAAATGCAATAAGACGTAACAACATCGTAACTGAAATGGTAAAAGTCGTGACTAATATTTTTTAGTTTTTTTCATAAAATTATGCGAGAGTTGTAATTCGATGAAATCCATCATATCCATCAAAAACTGAATTTTGAAGTTTTTATTAGTTACGTCTTTTTGTATTTCAGCGACGATGTTTGTTACGTCCTTTTGCATTTCAGGTGACGATATGTATGAAAATGAAAAATAGGTATTTTTACTTTCTCTAATATTTTCATTTATTGATATCCAGTGAATTAAAAAAAATCGATAATTTACATTAAAAGCCAAATATATCGATGACGAAATTAACAGCAAAATCGATGCCAATAAAATTTATTATTTTTTATTTAGAAATACTATTATTAAGAAAAAACATTTCGATAACGATTAATTTATCGATATGTATGTATATATATCGATATTCGTTATAGATTAATACTGTAATTTCCAATCGCTACCGAAAGGCATTGGAGAAAACCCACCAGCAAATTTGTCTTCCTTGAAATTTTTCATCTACATAGAAGATATTTTCCAAACTCGCACACTGTTCGATATGCTCGCATTGCCCACAACCGCATTGCAAGTGTTTTGACCTGCAAATAAATTCAAAGTAAACAAGGCATTTGTGGCTCAGAGCAGCAGCAGCAAATACAAAGCTGTAAGCTCAGAGCGTATAAGCAAAAAGGAGGGTAAAATGCTCGTAAACGCATGCGCGCCATGCAACATGTGGCGCTGAAGACGTACATACATATGTATGCACGTATGTACATACGTAGCCATGCATCAGCTAACAGTACGGGTATGTATGCTGCAACACGCTGTGCGTGCTGCGATAAATCAAAGTTTTATTTGTTTAAATAAATTTGGCCATTTGCGATGGCTTCATCAACAGGTGCACATTCAGCTACACACATACATATGAAAATTATAGTGCAAATATATATACATACATACATATGTACATATGAACAGTACAGTAGTAAATTCTTTAATGCGAATTTTCGAGATCGCCACAAGCACGCTGCCTGCTGTTCAGAGCAGGAAGTTGTTTGCGGGGCAGCATTAATGCGAGAGCGTGTTGCGCATTTCTCAAAATGTCTAAAACA